ACATGCAGGAGGCAGCCAATCAATGATTCTCTCTCATCATTGATGTTTCTATCTCTCTCCATCTCCGTTCTTCTCTGAAATAAATAAAAAAATATATATATTTATAAAAAAGAAGACCCTTGGGTCCTAGAATAGTGCTCAGCTCTCCACCTTGCCACCATCCCGTCATGAGGACCACTGACTTCCACTCTCCACTGCGCACCCCCTCCTGGCTCCAGTGCCTCACCATTGATTTCACAGTATTTCCACTGCTTCATCTCATCATAATTGGAGGTGACTGAGCACCACAGCTTTCCAAAGAAGCTGCCTTCCGTGATGCAGTTGCTGTAGGACTTTCCCCGATAGATGAAGGGGAAGATACATCGTGGGTAATCTGTATGGGAAGCATGCAGGAGGCAACCAATCGATGTGAGAAAGACACATCAATGTTTCTCTCTCTCCCCCGTCCCCCCCGCCCCAATCCCGCCCCTCCACACTCTAGAAACCAATAGAAAAAATATCCCTGGGGGAGGCTTAGCAAAAAGAACATCAACAGAATCTTCCTATTTTTTCTTATTAATTTAGAAAATTAAGAAAGAGACAAAATACAATGATCGACTGGTTACAGTCCCTCCATCCAGAGAGCTATTTGGTGAACGTTATTACCCATCATTAGCATTATGGTTAGTTTCCCAGAGCATTTTCCATGCACACATGTATATTATAACCTGTCTGTAGAATATACGTACACGCACACTGTCTCTTTTGTAGCCCATGATGTACAGAAACCCGCTGATGGGACCGGGTGGCTCCACTCACCTTCCACCAAGCACGGCTTCCAGTGTCTGTCATACACCGCTTTGGTTGCACACCAAGGCGAAAGGCTACCTTTTTTGGTGCAAGAGAAGTAAACAGACCCCTTGTAGATGAAGGGGAAGACACAGGGAGCCTTGCTATCTGAAGAACAGAAGACAAAACAGGAGGGGATGTCTTGATTCTTGGAAAAGTTAAACCATATGCACATGTAAACAACTAGTATATATATATATATATTGGCCGACTGGCATGGCTCAGTGGTTGAGCGTTGATCTATGAACCGGGAGATCACAGTTCAGTTCCCGATCAAGGGTATATACCTGGGTTGCTGGTTCACTCCTTGCACCCCTTGTGGGGCGCATGTGGGAGGAAACCAGCCAATCTATGTGTCTCTCATCTCTCTCTCTCCCTCCCTCTCTTCCACTATCTCTGAAAGCAATGGAAAAAATATCCTTAGGCGAGGATTAACAGACATACACACACACACACACACACACACACGCACACACACACACGATGACTCATAGAATCTGGGCGGAAATGGTGTTCATTTTCTGGCTCAAAAAAAACCACCCCCACAAAAATAACATCCCAAGCAAGCCTTCATGCTCCCATCTTCCTCTGTCTGCCAGCTGACAGAAGAAAGGCGATGATGACCCTCCCCAGCGGACGTGAGACAATGTTTGCAGCCATTTTCGGTGGTTACAGCTGGGAGGGGGGACTGGTAGTGGTGCCGCTGAAACTACTGGGTAGAGACCAGGGATGTTGCTAAATATCTCTCCAGGCACAGGGCAGCCCTCCAGAGCAAAGAGCCATCCGCCCAAATGTCAGTAGGGCCAACGCTGAGAAACTTTGATAAAGAGGTGCTGGTAGAGAATGCTGACTCCCTCCCCCCCGCCCCCCCAACCCCAGGATGGTGGGGCCACACAGCAGAAGGACCCGGTGTCTCTGAATCAGATGAGTTCGACTTGAACCTCTACTTGGTTCAGCCACTGACATTCGGGACTTGTTTGTTATAACAGTTGGTCTGTTACTCACACAGGCGGACAAGACACAAGCCCCTATCTTCAACCTAGTAGCCCCCTCTTGTTGCGGATCAGACCCTCGGCCTGGATAACCTGGCAATGACCATGACAGGGATAAGGAATGTTTTGGGACAGAACGGAAAAGGTAGAACCCCATCTTTGAGCCTCCCCAATGGGTGCGTACAACTAAGGTTCCTTAGCAATATTGCATTT